ACTTGTAATGCGCATGAGAAACAACAGGTGCAATCCCCCAAACATCATTATGAATAATCCCACAACATTATGAGGCACAAGATGCATGATGAGGAAAAGGTAGGACTTTACTTTTGCCAAGTTTGCATGATGTACAATCAAAAGAAAGATCAAGGGAATAACATACTTTATTTCCCAATAAACCAGAATTAAACAAAGTACGGAGTACATCAGAGTTTGGGTGGCCCAAACGTCTATGCCACATCTTATTGCCAGAACCAACAACATTACAAGCAAATGAAAGTACAGGAAAACTAGGAATAATAGTAGACGGAGAAACATGAAGAGCAAAGAGTCGTCCCACTTTAGGCCCCTTCGCGATCATCTTCCCTGGCACTTGATCTTGCACGACACTACCAGAACGAGAAAAATGGACATTACAATTATTATCAACCAATTGACCAACAGAAAGAAGATTTGTAGAGAGATTAGGAGACACAAAAACATCAGTTAAGGAAAAGGAAAGATCACCAACATCCCTGATAGGCAGAGAACTACATCAGCTGTGTTAATTTTTATATGTCCATCATACTTTCTGACATTGGAAAGAGGAGCGACAGTATTTGTCATATGGTTAGAGGCTCTAGAGTCAAAATACCATGACTGAGAAGAAACATTATGATTACCTGTGAGCCCAAGAGCAGAAAAAGCAGAAATGATCATCTGTTGTACCATTTCAGGTGTTCGGGTTTGCTAAGGCTATAGGAGCAGGAATAGGAACAACTGGCTAGGCAGCAGGTAATGCAGCAGAACTAGAGGCAACAACAGAGGCATGATAAGCAGTACCCTGCTTCCGTTCAGGTCGAATGGGACAAGCAAAGATGAGAGACCTTGTTTCTTGCATAATTTCTTGGGACAGTCCCGAGCAATATGACCAAAAGCTTTACAACTAAAGCACTGGACAGCACGCAGGTCTCTACCCTTATTCCTCCCCTGTGCTGCATAAGCCACAGAAACAGGTGCACTAACATTAGCCCGATGTTCCATGGCAGCCTGTGTTACCATACGCTGCTCCTCACAAAGAAGTTCACTCAAACAGGCATCCAGCGATAGTACAGTATGACGATTCATCATATTAGACCGTGAAATGTCAAAGTCGGGTCGTTGCTTCATCAAGAACTGATCGCGCTTGCTGGTTGCATGCACTGCTTGGACAGCTAAGAGAGTTGCAGCTGGAACATTAGCATAAACAATGTCGGGATAATCAGCCCAAAGAGTTTGGAAACCAGAAAAAATATTCCTCAATTGAGAGACTTCCTTGTGTGAAATGAGCCAACTCATACTCCAATTGAAATCGCTTAGCGGAGTTGTCTTGATTATAAACCGTGTCGAGATAATTCCACATAGCAGCTGCAGTTTTATAAGGCCTTAAATTGAGAACAAGATGAGGCTCAACCGAGCCAAGGATCCAAGTCATAACCCTAGCATCCTTAATTTCCCACTTAGACAAAGCCTCGACACCTTGAGGTGCGGGAGCACTCCTATCAATATGATCCCAAAATTCTTTTCCTTTGACAAATAATTTAAATTGGAACTCCCATACTGAATAGTTTTTACCCGTGAACCGCACACCAAAAAAATCATAATTATTGGTTGACATGATGCAAAACTATGATAAATAACAGTCCAAAAATGAATATGCAGCCTGGGAAAAAAAAGTCCAAATAGCAAAGCCCAAATGATCAGGTTGTCAAAATTCTAATAACCTAGCCCAAAGAATTTAGTCCAATAATGACCCCAAACACTAACCTGGCAAATCCAAATACACCCACACCCACACCCATGATGCTCCCAATCAGGAAGGGAGATGGAGAAAATCAAACACCAGCAACCGTAGAAGAGAATCACCGAATAATTTCTTGACAAAAAATTTTCGGCCACCACAGATTCTGAAAACGCGTCCTTGAACGATTCCGGCCACCGCAGAAGATCCCGTCTGATCTTCAACCACGAAGAAGTGACACAGGTAAGTGTCGTTCACCACAAAACTGCCGACCCAACCTTTTGCACCACCGAGAACAACCCCACAATTTTGAAAACTCTCAAACTCTAATTTAGAAGTTCTGATACCATGTCAAAATACTAGAGACCACCAAGAGAGAGATTTGGAAAACTTGCCTTCTGATTCGGCCCCTTTCATTATATATATCGTGCCCATTCATCTATACATGGTAAGATAATATATATACAGTTAATAATAATAATCACGTCCTAAATTGTATAAACTCCCAAATTTATATACGCTAACATTATGTAGCTTTGAAATCCTTTTTGCATTGACTGGAGTTCAAAGCCTTGAATATATTTCCTAACAACTGCTATGTTATTACTTTTTGACGTACAGGAACCATGCCTGAGGGAATAACGGCCGAGAGTCTGATGAACAACATCATGGAATCAATATCTGATAGTGTTTCGAAGCACAAATCAGTATCATTTTTTGAGGAGGAGAAATCCAATTCGGTGACTTCTCAGTTTAACAGCTTGTTTGGATGTCAAAAGCCAGTGCACCATCTTTTGGGGGGTGGAAAATGTAGAATTTCTCTATACATTAGACCAATTTTCTTATTATTTAACTCATTCTAATCTTTTGAAAATTCATTTTACTTGATGTACAGCTGCTGATGTTCTGTTATGGAGGAACAAGAAGATCTCAGCCAGCGTTTTAGGCGCTGCTACAGTCATTTGGGTGCTTTTTGAATGGCTTAATTACCATTTTCTTACCCTTGTATGCTTTGTGCTGGTTATTGGTATGCTTGCTCAATTCGTTTGGAAAAATGCCTCGGGTATATTGAACCGGTAAGTTTACAAAGTAGACTTGTGTACTGCTTTTATATAGTGGCAAGGTGCTTCTGTATCATAAAGTGTAATATCAATGATAACAGATCTCCATCCAAAGTCCCTCGTCTTGTTATGCCCGAGGAGGTTTGTGTCAACATTGCCAAGATGATAGGAACTGAGGTGAATCATGGTTTGAGATTCTTGCAGGATGTTGCCTGTGGAGGAAATATGAAGCAATTTCTAGTGGTAGTTTTCTCTTATATATATTTTCGACTTTTGTTTTGTGTTTTTTGTTTATATGATGAAAATACAAGATACGTTATTGTTTTCTCCTCTCTTGATTTTCAAATTTTATTTTCTACCAAATGGATTAATGTGTTGATGAGTATTTTAGATGCTTAATGGGTTAACTATTTCTGAACCATTCCGTCTAATGCGTTTTCTCCTTTACTCGTTCTTTTTCATCCTTTGAGTGCATCATCCATGTTGCTTAATCTCTTCCATGTTAGGTATGCAGAACATGCTGCTGAATGTAGTTAGAATATGGAGCATTAATCTGGAGCTATATGATTAGGATTGTTCATTAACTGGAATGATGGCAGTTGCAAAAGCATTAGCTCCCTCAATCATCAAATTTCTGTATCGAGGGACGTGGATTAATTTTAGAGTGGGTTGCTTGGTAGACTTACTGAACAATCATGTAAATATTTTCACCTTCCCTTTTTGTTTATGGGGAATAATACATAAAATTAAAAATCCAAAAATCAGGTTTCTCGTTTTCTTTCTAAAACTGAATTTGATTTTAATTTTATGTAAACATTTTTTTTTTAAGTTAAAAACAAGAAAAAGAAATTGATAGGCATTTATTGTTAGGCACAGGAATAGAAACTACCATACTGGAAATCGGCATCAAGATTTTAATAGAATAATAAGAAAACAAGGAACCTATGCGAAGAAATGTTGTCAGAAAAAGCCTCAATGCTTGTGTGGTGTTTTACTGACATGTCCAACAGGGAAGTCAGCGATGTATTTTGCTTTAAAGAAATAAGAAGGAACTACGTGTGATTGTTTCTGCACTGAATGTCTGCTTCTGTAAATGTGTGTCTGTCCTTGTTCATGAGGACTAGGAACCAATGCATATAGGAGAAAGTCACATGGATGGGGGCAGTTTCCCCATTTTCTGAGCATTCCTCCTCTTTTGGTACATATTGTGACATGTACTACGAGTGGAGTATCTTCAAGTGCCCAATCCATTTTGTAGAGATACTTTTGATGCCCACTAGCCCATTCAGTGAACTGGCTTTTAGTGGTTTTTGACTAGTGTTCAGCTAGTAGGATGTTAGGTTGGACTCAGTTTTGAGAGTTTGTTGTGAAATATTGTGCATTGGGCTCTTGGTTCTTGCATGAGGAAATGCTTCTGATCATCAAATTGTTGTTATTAATGCAATAACTTAATTGTGTCGGAACAGACCATGCATCTGATGGTTCCACATTATATTTGTCTTTTGTTGTGTTGATCTTGTGACAAGAGGTTGATGAGCTCCTCATCCGATATACTTGCTTTCCTACTGAAGTTGAGGCTAATCAGTTCACAACTAGTTCAATGTGTACGAAGCTAGGTAGACGCGCTACGGAAATAGGCTGATGAGCTAAAGAGTAAGCTCATCTTATCTGCTCAGCCCATTGGCCTAATGAGCTACATAGTAACTTATGAACTCATAGATGTCTGGTAGGCTTGACGAGTTACAACGATAGCCTGATGAGCTAAAGAGTAAATTTGTCAGCTCATAGGTTTCTAATGGGGTGGAATGGCAGATGAACTAAAAGATTAAGCTGATCAGCCCATAGATGTCTGGAGGGCTGATGATCTGCAAAGATAGGCGGATGAGCTGAATAGTAAGCTGGTCAGCCCATTCATGATGTCCCATATACTCTACAACATTGCAAATGACTCTTTTCATAGCTGAGACAATGGTTGCGTGCTTAATAACATACTACTGCCTAAAATGATTACCTATCTTCCTTACTACTTTGTCCATCTCTTTCTTTTGTTAGTTTCTTTTCTAGAATCTTTTCATCTCTTATATCTCATTGTTGAACCATCTTATCTATAAGTTTGGCTTCTAAGAGAGTATATTAATTTTTTATTTATCTTATATCTTCAGTACAACCCTTGCGTTCATGCTTGACATGTGAAAGTTCAATAAATGACAAGCGATTAAGATAATATGCTCGGATATCTGATAGACCCCCGGTTAAATTCACATACGTGAGAAGGAAGAAATGGCATAATGCAGTTAGCAACAACCCAGCTAAGGCACCAGAATAAAGGTAGTCGGTCCAGGGTAGGTAAGTAGTTCAAAAGGGTAAATTAGGGAATTGAGTCTTGGGGGAATATGTCAATGAATGTAATAGGAGGGAGGGAGGTAGTTTTCTTTCGCCTTTTTGTGAAGTCGAGTGGGGAGAGACTAGGCCTCTCGAATGTCTTGGGTCTCTTCCTCCTTTCAGTGTTTCATTTCAAGGAATTACAATTCATTTCATAGTTGAATTCTTCTTACTTCAGAGGGTACTAACAAATTTGGTATCAGAGCACTGATCTTGAGAGAATGACGATCACTGATCGAGTGAATGCATTCGAATCACGAATGGATGGAATCAGGGGAGAGATACAAGTGGAAATAGGAATCATGAGAGCTGATTACGCCCAAAGAATAACGCGGTAGTAGTAGTGCAGTTTTGGGGTGTCGTATTCACGAGATGGAAGAATGTTTAAAGGAGT